ACAGTCCTTCAATGTTTCTCCTCAGTAAACAGTGAGAAAGTCACAAGATGAACATCGACACACACGGTGATTATTTATGCTCTTATTTTGAAACAATGTGGAGCATACATCGAGGACCCTTTGATGGACACACCATCCTCACACACTCTGAGTCACAAGTTCAGAAAGTTACATAAGAATAAACATCTGTATTAATGATTAAATTACTTACATATAAAGGTTATTTATTATTATTATTCTACCTCCAGCTATTCTTCCTGTGACTGAACATTTAGGAGCATCTATTGGCACAAGTGGGATATAATATTATTGGTTTTCATTCGTCTATAATCAGCTGAATATAGGAATTGTTGTGTTTCATTATCTTAAAACCTCTATTTTTCTACGGTAGCCCAGAGTGGACAAACCAAACACAGACTCTCCTGATCTGTATTTAGATGTTTTAATCTTTAATTTCACTTTTTTAGGCCTTTATGTCGAAACAAGAGTCTCGCTCTTCAACCTAAATCTAATTTTGTGACTAAACTTCTGAACTCTGAGCACAAAAGAGTTAAAGAGTTAAACTCGAAGGGTACGTTCAGGGTGGTGATGGGATCACAAGATCCACACGGAGCCCTCAGGCGCGACCTCCCTGACATCCCATAATTCACGGTGTTTGCGTCAGGACAGAGATTGTTCAGTGATAACAGGCCGCCACAGGAGACGAGAGGACGTAGAAGCTTTTTTAAAAACAACAATTTCCCTCCAGTGATTTGTGTTTCCACTAACTAGGCTGAGGGGTCTTCAGGAATGCGTGACCAGTTTTCGGTGACTGACTCGCTGTAAAGACCTCAAGTCACACGTTTTTTAACATATTTTGGGGCAGGCAGACCCCTCTTAGCAAACACTCAGGATTCCTGGAGTGTTTTCCATCATATGTCCTCCGGCTCATTGAAAAGAAGGTTGTAAATCTCCTCCCGCCTTCATTCCTCTCTCCCCCCAGCTCCTGCCTCCTCCCTTCCCATCCATCTCCCCATTGCCTTTTTTCTCTTCATCTCTTCTGACTCCTTTTCCTCTCTCTTGTTTCTGTCCTCACAGATCTCCAGCGTTTTTTGATGTCGCATTCCTGAAGTTTCTGAAGAACCCAGAAGACCGACAGCAGACAGCAGACAGCGAGACTGCCAGAGAACATATTCTTCATCCCTTCATCCTCTTTGTCTGAGGAGAGATAAAGACGAGAGAGGGTGTGTGTTTGAAGGAGAAAAGCACCCAGTGTTTGCTTGGATATGGCTTTTCTGTGTATGAAAGAAAGACAGAGGGAGCTGAGTTGAGGTCAAGGCCTTCCTCCTCTCCCCCTACAGTCACATGTCAGCGTGAGGCACAACCCCCGGGGTTGCCATCGCTACGCTGACCGACCCAAATACTTGTATACTCACTTGGAGAAACGACACAGACTGAATCCCTCTGCTGAAAGAGCTTCTGTTTATTTACCCCCAGCTTCTTTTCTCTCGCTGGTTTTAATTTAGAGGCGCCTGCTTCTACCCAGCGAGCACACAGAGACTGAATCCTCTCACATCGACCTGTCAGAATGCCGGCCAAGACACCAATGTACTTAAAAACTACAACTCCCAAGAAGGGAAAGAAGCTGAAGCTTCGTGACGTCCTCTCAGGCGATATGATCAGCCCCCCGCTGGGCGACGTACGTCACAGCGCCCACGTGGGGCCCGAGGGGGAAGGCGATATGTTTGGAGACGTGGGTTTCCTCCAGGGTAAGATGAGCATGCTGCCGTCCCTGAGCCGGACGCAGAACTGGCACTCGCGCTCGCACAGCGTGGAGAGACGCCTGGATGACGACTTCACCACGAAACAGGACTCGCACAACTACGCCTACAACGGTTACCACTACCAGCACTCCTCCGCCGGCCTGCTGAAGACCACCATCTCCATGCCTGTGTTCATCGCCCACGAACAGGCTCCGCCCAAACCCCCACGCCTCCACCTGGACGACCCCTCTCCTCCTTCTCTGCCTTCCCAGCAGAACCACTTCCACCACCATCAGCAGCCCTCGGAGACGGGCCACAAACAGGCCAACGGGTTCAGTCACACAGACAACCACAGCCAGGAGCACTCGACCCCGTCGCCCTTTGAGAACGGGGTGGTGGGCCGCTTGGCGTCTGAGCCCTGTCGTGACATCTCCCTCTCGCCCTCCATCCGCAGGCTCGTCCCCTCTTCTGGCTCCTTCTCAGAGGCCTCCTCCGAGGACTCCATGTCGGACACCTGCGTGCCCCTGGACGTTCGCCGGGGCCTCAGCCTGGACTCTGATGCCGGCCTGAGCAACGAGGATCTGAGGAGCGAGCGCAGTGAGTCGCCCTGCACTACCTGCCATTCGGCCAGTCTCACAGCCCCGACCGGCGTGCCGCGCTCAGAATCTATGGCCGGGTTAGACCTGGATCTGGGCCCATCCATCCTGGAGGATGTCCTCAGTATCATGGACCGCTACAAGACTGAGGACAACCGCTGTGAGCTGTGAAGAAAGATTAATGTGATGTACAGATATTTTTTTATACATGGTTTAATAAATCCTTAAAAACTTAAACACTAACGGAGGACAAGGGATGGAGGGAAGGAGGGATGGAGGGATGGAAAGTGTCTTTTTGAAGACTGTGTTTAAAGGACAGATGTAAGAGAGGAACGTGGACGACGCTGCCCGACATGACAACAAGGCAACAGGCTGGTCCTTTAGAGCCTTCATCAAACCTCATACACATTTAAACTGTAAGCTAACAAAGAGAAGAACTGCATTCACCTTGTTATCACAGCACATTCCTCTTTTTCTCTGGACACCCGCCGCTACCCGCCATGTATTGTCTCTTAATCTGTCTCGTACTGAGAGTTTTCTGCTCGTTAATGGTTAACACGTTTCCAGCTGAGTCGGATAAAGTGCACACTGACCTGGAGAGACAAAAAGGGGAGAAGTGAGCACCTGTGGACAAACATTCAGGACTCACTTATCCATCATGGAAACCACAGCTACTAATAACACGTACAACAGCAGCAGAGCTCAATCGTAAACTGAGCTACAAACACAGTTTTAATGCCGAAAGCCATATTCTGTCCTCATTTTGGCTGCCAGGAAAATGTCATTTTCTGAACTAAAATGTGTCTGATTGTTAATATCTTCACTTGTTTACTGTAATGCTTCAATGCCAGATGAAATGTGAAGAACTTCTGATTTTACTGTCCTTCTGCGGACGGATGGAGACGAAGCTAAAGTGGCGTCTGTCTGCCCTCTAGTGGCAAACAGCAGCTCCGACACTTCAGTGGCAGATTTATTTTGATCGGAGAGAAACTGAGGAAGCTTATTCTTGTAGTTCAACTAATAGAAAATGCTTTTAAGTGTAAGAAATGTTGCTGCTTTGTAGATCATCAGATCTTTTTAAAATCACTTCTCTCCCGTGTTGTTGGCTCATTGTCGGCCTCCATAACATTCACTGTCTGCATTATCACAGTAGCCTATTATTCAAATGTCATTTATGCTGTATATATATATATATACATATCACTGTAAATGTAAAAATAAAACGTTCCTTTAAAAAAAAACCAAGGCTTTGTGTACAATTATTAACACACAAACATAAATGAAGGAGCTGCATATTATATATATATATATTTTAAAAAACAATGGCATTAATAATCACAAAGATATCTCTTCCTGCGTTCAGACCACACACATAACATAACTGTGCTTGGTTTGAATTGATAATTAATTTAGTTCATTAGTTAAGTAATTAATTTTGGAGGTGGTCATGTTGCTTTTATTTGGAACATAATGATATAGCATCCCATAAACCATAAAGTATTTCCTGCTGTACTACTAGAATATGCCGATAAGTTTGTGAAAACGTGATTAAATATATATTTGTGTGAGGATATTGATCATGTACGCGTAATATAACTGAAATATTAAAGGTTTTTAGACACATCACGAGTGTTCGCTGCCATCAAACTACACCTGTTTGTCTTCTGACAGTTTTATTTTAATATCTGAATTATTGGTTCTTTAGTTGGTTGTTAAAATTATATTTTATATATATATATATATATTATATTCTCTAGAAGTAATCTTATGATGTTGTGTAATTTCAGTTGAGTGCAGTTGTAGTTCCTCACTGTGACCACTGGAGGGCAGCACCAACTAATGACTATCAATAAATTGCGACCTATTTATCAGTGTTTATTCCGGTAGATGGTTTTATAATCTATAAATGTTGTCCTTGTTTTTTTGTAGTTCCTCATTATGACCATTAGAAAATATTTAATTACTGATAATCGGTCTGACTGCGCCGTTAGATTTACGTGTATTTGTCGCCACCCGGTGGTCACAGTGTGACGTTGCAGCCCGTTAAATTAGTAAAATGCGCGTCATTTCAGACCACTTCCGGGTAATCCTTTCAAAATACAGCGACAAACCCAAAGCGATTAGAAATTAAGTGACATAAAAAGCCATTATCACGTCATCTGTATAAAGAGGTTCACATGATCGACGATTCACAGCAACTTTATAAAGATGGAGATTCCGGGGTCAGTTATGTGAGATTGTTTCGGTCACTTTATATAATTTTTTAACCTTTATTTTGATAGTATTCACAGGAAGTGTTGGAAGTGACGCTAGTTTTACTAATTGAGCGTGTTGCAGTTCCACCGTGTGGCCACTGGGGGGCGGTAAACACTCGTTATCATGGGCAGGGCGGATAACGGTCGACGGTTAGAAACTAGCGTCAGTGGTAGCATATTAAAACTTCCGGTACGACTTTCAAAATAAAGGCAACGTAATTCGGGGATTTGGAATATTACGGTTTAATTAAACGATCTGATGTCAACCATAAATATGCTACAACGACATTAATTCATACACAGTCAACGGTTCATCAGTTTACATCGCGATTAAAGTAGTTTATCCTTCGCCCTGTAGGCGGCGGTAATGCGCACCGGCGCGAACTGAACAACCAGAAGTCGTCGTAGTAGAAGAAGAAACAACTTCCGCTCCCACTGCAGCGTGTCTGTGGTTTTTTAAAACTGACAACAAAGTTTTCACCGACTGTTTCACAACAGCGACAGCGACCGACAGAGAGAGAGAGAGAGGAGCGGCCTCCACACGTACCACCAGAATGAAGTGAGAGAAATCAATCAATCGATCAATCAATCGATCAAATGCAGACGTTGTGTGCATCGATCGTGCTAACTGATAGCTAAGCTCATTCAGTATAATATTATTAGTATAAAACAATGTTTGTGCACCTTCATCTTTTATTTCAGGCTGAACATCGACGGTCTGTTGGTGTATTTTCCATATGACTACATTTATCCTGAGCAGTACTCCTACATGCTGGAGCTGAAGAGGACACTGGACGCCAGGGTGGGTGGTGTTAAAGTGTCTCTCTGTTTTTTCTTATTATATATATTATTATATATTATCTTATTATATATTATCTTATTATAAATATCTTATATACAGGACGTAAACACAAAGTGTGTCAGGGTGTGTTCGTGGTTTATTCTGCCTGTGTGTATTTAAAGCTGCTGTCTCACTGAACGCGAGTGCAGGTTGAAGTGTGAGTGAGCTTTTGGTTTTCTGCTGCTGCTTCAGAGGGAGGATGGAGGGAGGATGGAGGGAGGGAGGATGGAGGGAGGGAGGGAGGGAGAGAGGAGGGAGGGAGGAAGGATGGAGGGAGGGAGGATGGAGGGAGGGAGGGAGGGGAGAGAGGAGGGAGGGAGGAAGGATGGAGGGAGGGAGGATGGAGGGAGGGAGGGAGGGAGAGAGGAGGGAGGGAGGAAGGATGGAGGGAGGGAGGATGGAGGGAGGGAGGGAGAGAGGAGGGAGGGAGGAAGGATGGAGGGAGGGAGGATGGAGGGAGGGAGGGAGGGAGGGAGGAGGGAGGGAGGGAGGATGGAGGGGAGGGAGGGAGGGAGAGAGGAGGGAGGGAGGAAGGATGGAGGAAGGAGGGAGGGGAGGATGGAGGGAGGGAGGAAGGATGGAGGGAGAGAGGATGGAGGGAGGGAGGATGGAGGGAGGAAGGATGGAGGAAGGAGGGAGGGAGGATGGAGGGAGGGAGGAAGGATGGAGGGAGGAGGGAGGATGGAGGGAGGGAGGATGGAGGGAGGATGGAGGGATGGAGGATGGAGGGAGGGAGGATGGAGGGAGGGAGGGAGGAAGGAGGGAGGGAGGATGGAGGGAGGATGGAGGGAGGGAGGAAGGATGGAGGGAGGGAGGATGGAGGGAGGAGGGAGGGAGGATGGAGGTAACTGTTGTGTTGTGTTCAGGGTCATGGAGTCCTGGAGATGCCGTCAGGAACAGGGAAGACCATCTCTCTGCTGTCTCTCATTGTTGCCTACCAAAAGGTGAGTTTAGCTGTGTGTGTTTACAGGTTGGAGTTACTGTCAGCACCAAGAACATTTAATAAGTTAGTCTCTCTCTCTCTCTCTCGCTCTCTCTCTCTCTCTCTCTCTCAGGCCTTTCCTCTGGAAGTGACCAAGCTAATCTACTGCTCCAGAACGGTTCCAGAGATCGAGAAGGTGACTCAGCATCAAATAAAATCTTTGTCCTGTCTAACGGCTCGAGGATTGTTTTCTTTTAAAGTTAAAATAAAACTGTGATCCGCTGTGTGATTAGGTCGTGGAGGAGCTGAGGAAGTTGATGGAGTTTTACTCCAAACAAACTGGAGAGAGCAACAACTTCCTGGCTCTGGCCCTCTCCTCCAGAAAGAACCTCTGCGTCCACCCGGAGGTTCGAACATCGGCTGACATTCACATTTAAAGCTGACCGAGTGACGAAGCAGCTTGTGTTTTAGATGCAGGGCCGAGCTTTCTTCTTCCTCTGTTTCTTTCCAGGTGAGCTCTCTGCGCTTCGGTAAGGAGGTTGATGGGAAGTGCCACAGTCTGACAGCGTCGTACATTCGCGCACAACGCCACAGCGACCCCAACATGCCTGTGTGTCGCTTCTATGAGGTAAGAAGTCACCTGGATTTACCCACTTCAGACCAGCTGGTGTTTTTCAACTAAAGTGGAAGTAGGAGGAAGGTTTTATTTTAATGAATGGAGCTCAATATTCAATTGATTATAACTTGAAGACTCAACTCGCTGTCACTTTTTTTCGCTGTTGATACAGAGACATCTGGTTTTCATGCAAGCATCCACCATCCAGCTAGTGTTAGAGTGTGTGTGTGTGTGTGTGTGTGTGTGTGTGTGTGTCAACATCATGGGAAAGACACCTGAAAACCGAAATCATTCATTATGTTCCTCTTGTTAGGAACTCTAACTAGGTTAAAGAAAACAATGAGAAGTACTCACATAACACCGTGTGTGTAACTACAGACCAGAGGCAGTGTCTGGTTTCTAAATGTCCTCTGAATGAACTCATAATGTGATCTCAGGTCAGTGCTTTGTCACAGATGTTGCATAACTTCAGTAAGAAACAATAAGTGTACCTTTTTTTTTTTTTTTTATTATTATTATGAAAGCCCAGACTTTTACCTTCTAACTAACAAAGCTCCAACTGACTGAGATAATTAACATTAAAAATAAAATGTGCCCCATAGTCTTATCTTTCACTGTACCTACATTTGTGTGTGTGTGTGTGTGTGTGTGTGTGTGTGTGTGTGTATAGGAGTTTGACGCAGTCGGCCGACAGGTGCCTCTTCCTGCGGGCATCTACAACCTTGACGACCTGAAAGATTTCGGCAGGAGGAAAGGCTGGTGTCCGTACTATCTGGCACGTTACTCGGTACGTTGCACAACACGGAACTTGTGGCCGGATGGGACAAATGCTTTTCTAGTATTTTGGGGAAAGAAATGAATGGATGAATTTATGGTTGGTTTAAAGGTTAAAACACAGATTTTCATTGATTGTTTATTGGTTCTGGTCGTGGGAACACAACAGTTTACAATATAAATGTTTCTCATCAAGAGGAAATGCTCTTGGCAGTTACTCTTCACTGAATAATGTCTTGATATTTGAAGCTGTTTCAGAGAGGTTGTATCTCTAAGTTTGTCCAGTTTTCTGTCTCCTTTCTTTATGTCCTCTCAGATCCTGCATGCTAACATTGTGGTGTACAGTTACCACTACCTGCTGGACCCCAAGATAGCGGACCTGGTGTCCAAAGAGCTGGCCAAGAACTCTGTCGTGGTGTTTGATGAGGCTCATAATATAGGTGAGGAGTGATTTATTATGTATCAGTCCCAGAAATCTGAGATTCATTTAGTAATTCTGATCATTCTAACATCATCTAACTCATCCAGCACCTCTTTGTCTCCTGTTTCTTTCTCTCAGACAATGTGTGTATCGACTCCATGAGTGTGAACATCACCAGGCGAACACTCGACCGCTGCCAGACCAACGTGGACACACTTCAGAACACCATACAGAAGTAAGAGCCTGGCAGATTCCCTTAATCACATCTACATCTGTGAGGAGAGGAGTTTGACACCACACCTGCACGGAAAAACTGTAGCTACATTTGTTTATTATGTGTCTGATAGGATAAAGGAGACGGACGCTGCTAAACTGAAGGAGGAGTATCGGCGATTGGTGGAGGGGCTGAAGGAAGCCAATGTTGCCAGGGAAACGGACATCTACCTCTCCAATCCCGTGTTACCAGATGAAATTCTGAAAGGTGCGGCCATCAACAGGATCGGACATCAATTAATTTAGTTTTTGTTGAAAGATAATTCAGACAAAAACACAAAACTGAGTCTTCAAGAAGCTTGAATACTTTCTGTCTGCTCTCTCTCTCAGAGGCGGTCCCTGGTACGATTCGCACAGCGGAGCACTTTGTTGGTTTCTTGAGACGGTTCATGGAGTATCTGAAGTCCCGGCTGAGGGTCCAACACGTCGTACAGGAGAGCACGCCGCAGTTCCTCAAAGACATCTTCGACAAAGTCTGCATCGACCGCAAGCCTCTCAGGTCAGCGTCGGCTTCAGCAACTCATTTAAACTAACATCACTCATCACACCTGTTTTATAACTGCTTGAATCCAGACTTAAGAAGGCGACATGGCCCTCAAGTGATCAGTTCTAGCTCTCTTTCTCAGTAGCTTAATCACAAATTCTTCTTCCTCAATTCCCTCATTTCCTTTGCAGCTTCCCACTCACTCTCCCACCTCCCACACATGATCTTTCTTACATAATCACTCACCTTTTCTCTCTCTAATCTTTCATCCATTCCTCTGTGTCTCTCCAGGTTTTGTGCGGAGCGTTTACAGTCTTTACTACGTACTCTGGAGATCGCCGACATCGCAGACTTCTCAGCTGTTACTCTCATCTCTAACTTTGCTACCCTCGTCAGCACCTACAGCCAAGGTACCGAAACACTTCTATACATCTTAAAGTACTGAAACAGACACTGTTAACAGATGTAGTACTTGTAGTTGCAGTAAGACGTGTGGTAAAAGTCAGATTTAGTGTTTAATAGCTCCCAAATATTTAGGTTTTGTTGTATAAAAAGAATGGGAAAGGGGAAATCAGCAGTGAAACTTTAAACTGTTTTCTCTCTGTCTGAAGGTTTTACCATCATCATTGAGCCCTTTGAAGACAGAACTCCAACCATTGCCAACCCTGTGCTGCACTTCAGGTGGGACAGCACATTTAATGTAAACCTTTACCTACCAACCCCACTTTATAAAGGATAAATGTTATTCTCAGTGTGTGTGATTGTTGATGAGTACCAGTGACTCCAGCTCTTCTTTACTCTGGGGAAAAGGTTCCAGGCTTCAAAAAATATTTGGGACAGAAGCTTCCTGCCAACGACCTACTTACATTTTCAGCTGCTTAACCACCGAGGACTGTGCTGTTAGCAGCTCAACAATGATGCAGGATACTTTTGCTTTAAAGGCTGAGAAGCCTCCTTCTGAGATCTGAAACACAAAGCAGTTATTGTTACACAATTTTACACAATGATAATCTTTCTGATGGATGGAAGCTCTGTGAGTAAGTGACAAAGCCTGTGTGATATAAACAGTGAAACAGTGACTGTTCTGATCTTTGTTTTCTGTGTTTGTTCTTCTCTCAGCTGTATGGATCCGTCTATCGCCATCAAACCTGTTTTTCAAAGATTTCAGTCAGTCGTCATCACCTCGGGGGTGAGTTAGTTACCACTCTCTCGTTCTTCTCTGCTCAGTTTACAGTCTGTCAGCAGTAGTTCAGTCCTGTAGTTCACAATGCAGATTTATGTCTTATGGCTTAAATGAATATGTTATATTTGTAATCAGGTTGCGTATATGGCTTAAATGAATATGTTATATTTGTAATCAGGTTGCGTATGCAGAGTCGAGAACAGATGGAGCAAAGAATAGTTTTCTCTTTTTGTTTCAATATTGTTTGATTTGAGTTAAAGTACCTGCCCCGTATCGTGGAGCTACTTAAAATATAATCCTTTCATTGATGTAATGTTATTGCTTCTCATAATCACGTGTACTTAGTTTAAAATGTTCAACAATTATCACAGTTATCAAATTATTGCCATTTTTATTTACACTGGTGGCCTGAATATTAGATCTATTCAGCTGACACGCTCTGATAAATGACAGCCTGCTCTCATTTTGACTATCTCGTCCTTCGGTTTGACCTCTTCAGACTCTCTCTCCTCTGGACATTTATCCCAAAATCCTCGACTTCCGCCCGGTTACCATGGCATCCTTCACGATGACGCTGGCACGGACCTGCCTCTGTCCTCTGGTGTGTAATTACACTCAGACAGAAGAATTATAGACAAATTGTGTCACAAAAGAACACATTCATGACAATGTGCCAACCCTTAATCTCATCATTTCCACCATTAAAGCTGAGTTTAAGTCTTTCCTTCCTGTTTTCTCTTTGGTAGATTGTTGGCAGAGGAAATGATCAGGTGGCCCTGAGCTCAAAGTTTGAGACCAGAGAAGATTTTGGTTTGTAAAAATATCTTTTTCACAACATAAAATCTAAAAACAAAACACATGATTCTTTGTTTAAATGTAATGGTATAACTTTTTCTTTTTTTTTGTTTCCAGCTGTGATTCGTAACTATGGCAACCTGCTCTTGGAGATGTCTGCCATTGTTCCTGATGGCATTGTGGCGTTTTTCACCAGCTATGTCTACATGGAGAACATAGTGGCGTCTTGGTATGAACAGGTCAGTGTGAGGACACACACACACACACACACACACACACACACACCACTGCTGATAATTAATACTTTAAGAGTTGCATCATGGAAACAGAATTTAGTCAACAATGATTCGGTCTAAGTTATCTCATTCTATAAGTAGAGAAGGACGGCTTCAGTAAACATTTCTGTGTTTGTTTGCAGGGTATCCTGGAGAATATTCAGAGAAACAAGCTGATCTTCATTGAGACTCCCGATGCTGCAGAGACAAGCATGGCCCTGGAGAAATACCAGGAGGTCAGAGAGACACAAAACAAAGATCAGTCGTCCCATTTAGCATTAGCAGTGCTGTAAAGGAATAAAAGCAAATTCATGGTTTATCTTCCTGTTCTCGTGCTGGATCTCAGACCTTTGTCCTCTGACCTTTCTCTGTCTGTCTCTTCCCTTTAGGCATGTGAGAACGGCAGAGGAGCCATCCTCCTGTCTGTGGCCAGGGGAAAGGTGTCTGAGGGAATAGATTTTGGTAAATGATGCTGAGAGTTACTGACTTAAATATAAAGATTCAGCAAACATTTCACCAGGTGTATGTGTTGAGTTCAGTTTTTCTGAATCTTGTTCTTTCTTCTGTTCAGTGCATCATTTCGGGCGAGCAGTCATCATGTTTGGAGTTCCTTATGTTTACACACAGAGCCGCATCCTAAAGGTCAGAAATATCTCCTGTACAATAACTCTCTTACAATAAAATGCACATTTACCCACATTGACTGAGCTGTTTTACTGTCCTCACTCTGTTCATAGCTTGACAATATTTTTACTTACTCACTGACTTACATGTTTCAGGCTCGTCTGGAGTACCTTCGGGATCAGTTTCAGATCAGAGAGAACGACTTTCTGACGTTTGATGCAATGCGACACGCGGCTCAGTGTGTGGGCAGAGCCATCAGAGGCAAGACCGACTACGGACTCATGATTTTTGCTGACAAGGTTTGTGATGTTTCTGTCCTCTTCTTGTAGCTTCCATTACAACCAGTCTTCAGATTTTAGCATTAAAGTGGCTCCACTGGGGCAGTTTGTTGTCTTGAGTGATGATCAGTCAGTACGTGATGGCCGTGTCTCCCCGCCCGCAGCGTTATGCCCGAGCAGACAAACGTGGGAAGCTTCCTCGCTGGATTCAGGAGCACATAAATGACGGCAGTCTGAACCTCACCGTGGACGAGGCCATCCAGCTCTCCAAACACTTCCTGCGGCAGATGGCTCAGCCTTTCAGACAGGTGCGACTCAAACCTGCTAAACACAATACAAGTGTATATATGTGTGCTTCAGATTTCTCTATCTGGGAAGTTAACTGAAACTTAAATGTTATCAGTTAGAGTTAATTCAACAGGCGTAAGGTCACCAGAAGCAAAAAATATTGATTACAAAACAGCTTTTGTCTCTTTTGTGTGAAATGTCAAAGAACAAAGAAACATAAGGTCCAGAGAGGACATAAAGTTACTGTAATTATTTCATGATCCACACTTTTGTCCCTCTTGTGTCTTAAAGAATCAGAACATGTACTGTACTTTACATGAAAGGGTTACATTAATTATTGAAAAATTCTTATGCAGGTGAGTCAGAAAGTTAATTTCTAACACTGGATAAAATAGAAAAAACAGAAGAAAAACTGTAATTTTATAACTACTTTAACTTTGCCAAGTGTGCTCGCAGAAAACACTCATCCAAAAGATAAAAAGCCTGTTTTTTTTTAGCATTTAGTAGCCTCCTACATCCCTCTTCTTTAATTTAGACTGACTTAGAGCTGAACAGTGAACAGGATGATTTAACCTCAGACCTGCAACAATGTCATGTCATTTAAGCAAGACACTGAAAATAGTTGACCAGGCAGTCTGTGCTCACCATCGCCTCTCTAATAACCTCCTCCCATCTCTCCCTTCCTCTCACTCTCTCCCCCTCCAGGAGGACCAGTTGGGTCTGTCTCTGCTGACTCTCGAGCAGCTGGAGTCGGAGGAAATGCTGCAGAAAATCTCTCAGATTGCTCATCAGACCTGAAAGGTGACGTGCGCTGCATAATGTCATCACCGTGGCAACGCCCATTATGGGGTCGGCAGCCGGTACGATGACATCATTACCGTGCAAACAATTACAGAACTGGGTCAGATAGCAGATTTCACTTTAACCCATTCAGTGTGATAGATGTACGTGGTTTTCCACATCAGCTGTAGACAACAAAATCAAAACTTTCCTCTAAAAAGTGGTAAACTCCACCCATCTGGTTAACTAACCATGAGAAGTATTCTAATCACAGCCCAGCTCTGGTGGTTACAGTAATTATTTCTGACTGGATTACACACAGTCTGTGTATAGTGGTTTAACAGTTTGAGCCTTAAAGAAGGCACAAGCATTCAGTATTTCAGGTCACACACACAGAATATTAGCACCACAGCTCTGACACTCTTACAGTTCAGTTTGTAAAGCGAGAACATCCATTTAGACTAAAATATATCAAACAAGTTGAGTATTTTGCAGGTTTATTGAGATGGTCCTAACATTTTGTAAACTCTTGTGTATTCAGTATTTCAGATCACTCACAGATGCAAGAAGAGAAGATATAATAGAGCATTATATTCCTAAAATTGGATTTTACAGCTTTTTCACAGCATTGTAATTTCTGGAAACAATAATACATTTATTTCTTTCGGTTAATAACATGTTCAGTTTCAAATATGACAAGAAGTCATCATTAGTGGGTCAGCACGTTGCATTATCTACAGAAACCTTATTCCATCTGTGGGTGTAACATCGGTTCCTATAGCGTCTGTCATACAGGCACGACTACTGTTAAGTTTCCTTTGCTACTGTAACTGTACATAGTCTCATTTTATACTGAACATGAATATTTGTATGTTTTTTCAACCAGGAAGTTGGAATATAAATGTTTGTATTTAACAGGTGACTTGTGTTTCTTCTTGGGAATGTGTTTTTAAAAAGAGGCCTTTCCATCCTGAGTAAAGGGCAAATACCTGAACTTAAAAAAAAGTACATTAGCTATTCAAATTAAAGAAGAAACCCTTTTAAAAAAAAAAAAAAAACTATAATTGTCAAAACCTTAAAGCCATAAAAGCAATATACAAAGCGATATTTCCATCCAAACAACACACGCTAAAGGGTGTTCAAGTCTCTTTGTAATTTATTTCAGCTCCAGTTTGCAAATATAAAATACAAACATTCATATTTACCAGAATAAACACAGCATCAGAGGAGACATATACATATATAGTCCAGTTCCTACATATTTCATCCCATTCTGTATGTAACATTATTACAAGTATTTCATTAACAGACCGTAGTTTCTACAGTAACTAAAATAGTGCGATTTCAGCCCTTACAAACAAACAGCAGTGACATCTTCTACCACAGCAAATGTACAATCAGTAGTTCTCCATCATGGAAAAATAGGATATACAGTATGTTCGAGCAAAAAAACTGGAAGTGAGCCCTAAAAAAATACCAGGAGGGTCGGGTGGTGACGCCATTTTCAGGGAGCCAAGATTTTCCTAGCAACACTCATTTATTTGAGTCTGTATCTTACTTTAAACATTCCTGAGTGTTAAAGGTCCAGTGTGTAACATTTAGGAGGATCTATTGGCAGAAATATATTCATAGGTATGTTTTTATTAACGTATAATCACATTAAAAATGAGTCGTTTTTATCTACAGACGCACATATTAAACCGCCATGTTTCTACAATAACACCAGAACGGACAAACTCACTAAATTGGGCCACTAAATCCTACACACTGGACCTTTAAGTACGTACAAAATGATAGCCATTTAATGTTCTGTCTAGTGTATCAACATAAAAAGGAAGGACCTATGTTTATTTTTGTTCACGCAGTGTTGTGGTCATGTCACAAGATCTCGAGTTTGAGTCTTAAGTAACGTGTTCAAGTAATTTTCACTATAACAAATGAAAGAGCACAAAAATCTACATTAAAAGATAGTTTTACTCTCTGTATAATAGTTGTCGATTTCAGGCATTTCAGTGAATAAGCATAGATGTAAAATTACAAGATGAAATAGACATACTTAAGTAGGCTACCCTGTGCTTTAATATTGTTCTTCATTCATGCTATGTTAAGCTACCACTATGGGGCAGAGACTTCAAAACAAACTCACTCAAATAGTTTGGGTTAATGCATTCACAAACATCTGGCTACCTGTGCATCGCATGCACACGCTGCCCTGTGTATCCCTTTGGAGTCAAATTTCCATCCATCGATTTACTACAAGTCCAGTATTCACTCTCCTTGTATCTCTGGTTTGCACTTTAGCTGCTGGATGTTTTGACTATCTTCACAGGTTTAGCCACCATACCAACTTTGTATGTCTGCTTTTGGCTCTGGGCAGATAGCGTCTATTTGGCTTGTCTAAGCTTGTTTGCCGAAACATTTTGAACTTACACAGACGCTTATTTACCTAGATTCTTTTCCTCTTTGTACAATCGCCCAATTTGCTTCATGTTTAGTTTGCGTGGTATAACATGGTCTGCCACAGTGTCTGTCATACGGCAACTGAGGGGCGCAAAAGAAACGTTCAAATCCAGAGTGGCTGTGAGTAAATGCTCTGTGAAGTCTTAGTTCAAGTCAGTCACCTAACTTCAGTCCAAGGCCAGTTGAAAGTCATCAAAACATTGACTCAGGCACACAACAGTAACTTTGGGTATCCAGATAGCTTCCAACTATTTTCTGAATAAAACAAAAACAACTTGCTGAATATTGAAATGTAAAGAAACTTTGGGGATGTTCATATTCAGTAATTGATCGATTTACACCAGTTTGATTGATCAGGAATATATTAATGTGCAAAAATATCCATCTTTTAGGAGTACCGTCGGTCATTTCATAGTGCTGGTGTTGATTGTTTTCAAATGGTGCACGGCACCTTATTTAAGTTAAAAAAGAGTTGGTCCTTATTCTCATAATGTGGAATGACATAACTGGACTGTGGTGCAAAACAGCTGAAGTAAACACATTTGTGTTCTCATTAGCTTGGACAATATGAAAATATAATTAGAATGACGTGCACATTTTAAAAGGCAAAACACATTTTAAATAACTTCTTTTAACTTTATAAACTCGATAGCTTAAACTTCTCCCTCGTAAACCAAATGTTACATTTTGACAAACGCATCACAACAACTTTACATCCCTGTGCTTCTCAAGAGAGAATTTATATCATTTTATAAAGATAATCTGTCATGTTTATCTTTAGAAACTTAAAAACATAACTCCAGGGGCACACTAGCATTAGGAGACGCCTATAATACCTCAAATATAAAATTCATTGTATTATTTTTTGTCAACCTGCAATTATGTTTATGCAAACATAGAAATATCAAAACTTCTATAAAACTTTGTCTTAAAATTAATGCTGGTATCATTTTAAATAGTCTAAAAGGATTTGTGTGTTCAACAATGTTTTCTTTCATTTTTAAGTTAAAGGATGCGATTCTGGAGAAATCCAAATACCATGACATAGTGCGAACGACGACACAGCAAGTAACGTTAACTTTTACAAACTGTCCCTTCAGTTGCAGCTGCGCAAATAACCTGCAGTAAGTACGAGACCGTTTCCCAGAGCCAGCTCTAAAGTAAGCTGAATGTCCGTGGGAAAGTGGTTTAACGTTACCTGACACGAGTTCTGTTGTGCGGCTCGGTCCGATCCACTTAGTTTGTTTCCTATTTACAGAGGCTGCTGAGTACAACCACTGACACACACACACACACACACACACACACACACACACACACAGTGGAAAGCGAGCAGACTGCGAGGAGAAAGTCACTGAATTTAAATTAAAAAAAGTGTTTTGATTAGATTTGCTCAGCCCACCTTAAATCGTTAACAGAATTAGTTTCTGATCTAAATCCAGGAAGGAATGATATTAAAGTTTCAAGTGAACAGGAAGGAAAGGTTATAGTGCAATAATATGTCAATATATGACCCCCACCGTTCTCGTCACTTTTTGGAGACACTTTACCAGAAACATGTTACATATCTCAGACAACTATCTCAGGTTTTTATGAGGGGACTCAAAGTGGGGGAATCCACTCTGGTGTAGGACATCTGATATGAGTGATCAGTACAGCAGTGTGCTTACTACTCAACAATCAGTGTGTGAACATCTTTCCAGTTATCTTGAGAAGTGTTGTATGTAGCAGGTGTGTGTGTGTGTGTGCGTGTGTGCGTGTGTATTAGCTGGTCCCACCGAGTGAACCTCGTCGTATCAGGCTCTGCGTGCTTGTGCTCAACCCTCGAGCGTCTGTCAAACGGCTTGACTGAGGAACAAATCAAAAACACACGATAGATTACAGATTTTTGTGACTGGATGTTATCGCTAAAGAAAGTATTTTAAATCACTTAATGAGGACATGTAACTGATTTCTGTCTCACAGAAGTAACACCAACAGGGGAATATATAGTTAAACAACAATCCTAAAGATTTCCATGGAAGTACATCTACATTGTGCTGGATAGAAACACCACAATAAGAATTTAGCTCTGAATAAATCACTGAACTTAGAGAGAAGGAATCTCATCGCTGTTAAACTGATTGAATCACCAACAGTCTCCTCACCTGGGTGCCATCCTGACTCTCTCTGGCTCCAACATTCAGCATATTCAGAGAGTTCGCCCTCTTCATCCTGAAAACGGCACCGAATATCATGACCTTTTAATCTTTATAAAAAGCGGCGTAATATCACTTAAAAACACACTGCTGTCGACAGTCTAAATGTGCCTGTCTCTATATTTTATTTAATATTTACATTATAAATCTCTCAGAACCAAAAAAATAATAATTCTTATCAAAAATTAGATATTTGAAAGTATTTTTTTGAGCATCATTTGTGTTCCAATAAACTTCCATAACAATATCTAGGATCCCCATCAGTAACGTTCATTTACTGAAGGTATCTACATCTCACAGCAGGGAGTCAAACACCATTTTGTAACAGACTATTACCCAGCATTCCTCGGGGTCGTTTCCTCCATCCCAACTCCTTTCAGCTTGCGGACCAGTTTCTCGCTGCTTCGGCGTATCGACTCTCTGAGTTTGGTGAAGGAGCCGCTGCGCTTCAGGTTACTGAGGCCGTCCTGTCCGGAGCCGCCGTCCTCAGCACCGGACCAAGTGGGACGACCGTCGCCTGGAAGACGGAGAGAGGAACAAACACCAGCTTATGAACAAACAATGAATGTATCTAATAAAAATGAGAGCTTTAACTACAAATTGAGCTTCTGGTTGTTAAATGAAACATTATTCATTTAAGTAGGACGCATCATTTTCAAGTCTCATCAAAATGTTTTGGGTCAAATCTGCCACAAAATCTCTAACATCTGCTGCTGTTTTGTACCTTCTACAGATCCAAACTCCTTTTCATGTGCTCTGGTCAGAATCTCTTTGTAAAGAGCTTCAGCTTGTCTGTATTTCCCCTGCTTAAGATAGCATGACGCCTGAGAAGGAACAAAGAAAAAGGAAAAGTGTGTGAGTGTAGAAAGAGAAGGTCTGAGTGAGAGGAAAGTGAACATTTGAACAGAATTTTGGTACTTTAAAAATACTTTATATTGTACAAAAGTTAATTTATTGTTTTCAGTTTGTCAAAAATCTTGACAGTAATGGTGTGTGACCCTTTTGAGAAACTGGGAGAATGAGGAAAAACATGGAAACACAGAAGAGGGTTCCAAGACATCCAGGTCTCCGCTCACCAGGTTGTTCTTGGTCTTGGCCACGTTGGCGTCATCTGGTCCCAGTTTGCTCTGGTAGATGTGCAGAGCCCGTTCGTAGTACTGCTCCACCTCCTGGTACTTGCCCTGGTTCTGACACAGCAGAGCCAGGTTGTTCAGCTGCTTGGCCACATCTGGATGGTCTGTACCCAGAACCTGAGGGGGGGGGCATTCAGACACAAAATGTAAGTCTTTCCATAACAACGACAGTATCTGATACATGAAATATCCTGATGTTCTGTGTTCATTCAGGGCTGTGTGTGAGGGTCAGTGGTGGAGGATACATTCAGATTCTTTACTTAAATGTAAAACTAGGAGTTTTTAACTGGTTATGAAAACATCAGTGAGAAGATTGGGTATTTCTTTTCTCCTTTTTAATGTTATTTTGGGCTTTTATTGCCTTTAATCAAGAGTGACAGCTGAAGAGTGACAGGAAAGGGAGGAGAGAGAGTGACACGCAGCAAAGGGCCACAGGTCGGAGTCGAGCTGCCGCTACACCGTTTTAAAATTAGAGTTACAAGTTCAGATTTGGGTTTAGGATTAAAATTTTTAATAAGTAAAGGTTAGTTGTGTAGCAGCGAGGATTAGGACTTGTATGAACTCTTTGTAAGTGTAGTAATACAAATGTTTTCTCACTTTCTCTCTGATCTCCAGAGCTCTTTTACACAGTGGCTCTGCTTCCTTGTATTTCCCTCTTTTCCCATAAAGCACCGCCAGGTTGTTGAGCGTTGCTGCCACCTGCACAAACACACAATAACACACAATGTAATACAGACAGGCAACGCTCCCCGCAACAAAAGTTTACTTACACAGTGATAAAACAAAACGGTGAGAGAAAATTAAGTAAACAAAATCTGAATTTAGTCCAAGTTAGATTCAGGATGTGCTGGAGGTTATAAAACTGTCTCATTACAAGGTGTCAGACTGCAGCTGGTTTATTAAAAGGAGGGTAACTCACAGCCGGATGGTCCATTCCCAGAGTTTTCTCCCTGATCGCCAACGCGTCGTTCAACAGGTTGGCTGCTTCTTTGTATTTGTTCTGGTCTCTGTAGAGGAAAACATGTTAGTAAATGGACTTCCTCGTTCTAAGTGCAGGAACAATCGTAGCGTGGTTTATTTCTTAAAAGGTTTTATTGTTTCTCATTTCTGCTAAATTTATCCTATAAAGAGCTTTAAGATTATAGAAAAGTGTAAATGATCTAACTGGTGTTGATTTGTTGCCATGGTCACTGGTCACTGTTCTCACCTGTACACCAGCGCCAGTATATTCAGCATGGTGGCTACATCTGGGTGGGTGTGACCTGAGGACTTCTCCAGATCTTCCAAAGCCTGTCGAGACATGATTTTAATCAGGAGCCATTTAAGCTTTCATATAACGTCTGACAAGAGAGTGAAATGAAAGGGCGCTTGGGGAATGACACTGAACAAAGACTCTCAGCTGGGCGTTAGCCGGGGACATTGTGGTTCACGTTCTGCACCATAAACTCCCGGGCCACCACGACCTACAAGAGCTTTGCCTCGTGTGTGTTCCCTGTAGTCTGTCTTCTTTCAGGTCTCTTCAGTTGTGTTTGGTGACATCTGGAAGCTGCTTGTCGTCCTCCAGGATCCATATTCCTCATGTATGTTTACAATCTAGCAATAAGATTTGTGATACTGGGCTGTACATAAGGAACAGAGTAGCTTTGGAAAACTCGATTTTGGGACTTGAACCTCTCTGGTGGGGACGGAGTCAGAGCTGATGCAGGCTTCAGGTTTCTTTTCTAGCGGGACCAGAACAGCAACTCTCACCTGTTTGCAGAGTGGTACAGCGACCTCGTACCGTCCCTGGGATGCGTACTGGATGACCAGGTTGTGGAGTGTTCGAAGGCGGGCGGGAATCTCGTAGCCGCCCTGCTGAGCTGCGGCTGCTGCACTGCTGTGATGAGTCTGGGACACTGAGCAGCAACAAACAAACAAATTACAAAGAAATGCAAAGAAGAATTTGATGCCAATTAATGTAATTAAATGATTGAAATCAAATCAATAATTGAAAGAGTACAGTTGTATCTCTCATTACAGCTTTAAATGATGTAGATGCAATAAAAAAGTGCTGTTATACAAGATAAAGTCTTCAATTCTCTGCCTGCTTTTAAAGAACCAATTTAGCTGGATGAGAAAATACATCTAAGATCATTTTAACGTCGTGTTTTATTTTGAAGAGACCACTGATGTGCTGGCCTGAAATTTATCTCCCCGTCTCATGATATAAACTCATTATCGCTGCATGTGATGTAGATGCTTGACACTGGAGCTTGAAATGTCTTTGCTATGTGTGAAGAGTTTTTACTGAAAACATCACGAGCAGCAGCAACCCTGAGTTTATCTACGGAGAATGAAGACATGTTCAGTAGCACAGAAACAGAAGATCGTACTGTTGATCAGCTGCACACCTCCATTAAAGACAGGGTGTGTAATACATTAACATGTAATTAACATTCAGGTCATTATCAGTGTCTAAACAAGAAAAAATCCATTCATCTTTGACCTTCCTTTGTTTAGACAAACATGAGACTTCGCCTTTATGCTGTGAATGATCCACATCATTGACAACAGGCCTTACTCTGTGACTGTTCCTCGTCCTCGGTAGGAAAGAGGTCATCCAGAGACTCCTTGGTGGAAGACGTGTCTTTGTCATCCTGAAGTGAGAAACAAACACTCAATTTAGAAGATGATACTAGAAGCAAAGATGGAGCTGCAGATAAATTATTAATACAATATACAGTACATGTTAATAAGGGTGTTGTTTGTGATCTGACACTAATAGACAAACAATTTTTATATTACAGCTAGTAAATAGTTTTATACTGACAAATAATGAAACTATGTAATGTGGAAGGGCTTGGTCACAGAGAATTACCACCAACTCTTTATGGAGCTCCTATATTTGATTTTACCACACATGTACTACATGGTTCAGTCTTAATGCTCCCATCAACCCCATTCCAGCTATTTTCAGCAAACAAGCTCTGATAAACCCACTGTGTGCTCCAGTGAACAACTAGCTGGTGAACATAGTAGAGCATTTAGCAGCTGAATAGTTAAGATATTTCCCTCAAGAGACGGAGCCGCTCCCTCTGTAGATAAAAAGACTCAATCTAAGGTAATGAAAGCACAATAATGCTTATTTTCTGGTGATTATACACTAATAAAAACATACCTATGATCTTAAATGTTACACACAGGACCTTTAAGAACTGGTTTTAATGTTGGCTTCTTTTCTCTCTCTCTCTCTCTCTCTCTCTCTCTCTCTCTCTCTCTCTCTCTCTCTCTCTCTCTCTCTCTCTCTCTCACAGACTAGGTAGGTCTGCTCTAACCTTTAACAGCGTTTGGCCTTATGAAGTTCATATTTCTGCCTGGTTTCCCTGAATATAAAAACACAAAAACCTCCACATGAAGCCCCAAAATGTGCTAGATAAAAGACTGGTGTTAATCAACTAGTGTTGCCATGTTGTTTTTCCACATTTGATCCTTCGTTACGTTGTTGGCTGGTGAAATAGTCACAACAAACTCTTCCTGAACCCACATATTAGTGTTTGTGTGCAGTTTGTCGTCTCCTCACCAGCTGCGGCTCCTCCATGTCATATTTGCGTATGGAGGACATGAACTGCAGGTGTTTGTTCTGCTCCTCCAGGGTGACTACCTCCTGCTCCTTGTCCTGCAGCCGCTGCTGAGCACCGGCCAGCTCGTCCCTCAACCACTGGTTCTCCTGACAGAGACGACGCACCTGAGGAGGAGGACGCAAAGGAAGAGACCGGAAGGGTGGGAGTGACCGGGGAAGGGTGAGGAAAAGAATAGAAAAGAGGGAGGAGAGATAGAGGAAACAGAAGATGGTGGAAAGGGAAGAAGGAGGAGGAAGAGAATGAATGAGGGAGGAGAAAGAGAGGAATGAGTAGTTGGAGATGAAGGAAGAGGCAGAGTAACAGAGGACAGAGGAGGTGTGAGATAAGAGGAGAGGATGATGGAGGAGGATTTGAGTGAGCTTCATTTTCTCTGACCAACAGAAATCTAACAGTTGAATAACGGACCTGTCAACCTGCAACTTTAACTTCATAAAACCCGAAACACTTCCAGAAAGCTCATGAAAATACAGCATCAGAGAATCTCCCATCCCAACTCACCTGAGCCCGAAGCTTCTGTTTCTCAGCCTCCAGTGAACCCAGGTGAGCCGACAACGCCATCATCACCTGGAGGGACGACAGACAACAGAAGAAAAAACACTTCAGAAATATATAAACAAACATCAAAATTAAAACTTCAATTCATAATCGATTAAACACTTTTTAATGCTCATCTAATATATAAAGTATATATTGTATATAAGGTAATTTCTTTACCCTTTGTTGTTTAATGAATCTATAATGTTAATTGTGTGTTTTTTGTAAAGGAAAGTCACTTTTTATAGTAATAAACTTCACATTTTTACCTACTTAAGTGCCGGTTACAAGATTTTTGCCTGAACTGAATTCTGTTTTGTTTGTAATTTTGGACAAACATTAAAACATCTGGAGTTGTGTGTCCGGCTATCTCTCCTTTTAGCCTTGTTTTGGTCTCCACCAGCTGTTTAACTGTTAAACGCTCCACTTTGTCCACCAGCTAGTCGCTATCTCTGCCATTTAGTGCTGAGCAGGTAGTGTCAGGTGGGTTTATGGAGAGTTATCAACAACAAACAGCTGCCCACTGTGGCAAAAAAAACTATGCTGAGGGTGGTGAAGGTGAGCAGTAAAGTTGTGGTCCGTAAAACCAAAACACCGTTCTAAAAAGGAGGCTACACGGCTCCGTAGAGCTGTGGGGAACTCTCTGTGTGTAGTGACTTGTTTCACACAGAAGTAGTAAAAATATTATTATAGCTAACAGAAAAGAGAAGCAACACATGATAAATAAAATTGTGGCTTCTTTCAGTTCTCGTATTCACACCTGTGCCTCGCTCAGCCCCAGCTCTATCCTCTCCAGTGACTGGCGGATGATGCCACTCTTCTCCTGCTCCACGCTGCCGCTCTCCGACGCCGGCTGGCTCTCCAGCGGCTCCTGCAGGCTCTCCAGCAGACTGCGGTTCTCCCCTCTCAGCGCCTCCAGCCCTGCGATCACCTGCTGCGTGCTGCACAGGATCTCCTCCGCCGACAACATGGCTCCGACTCCGAGGTTCCTCCTCTCGCAACAACTGACCTGGGAACAAAGAGGTGCACATAAACAGTAGAAGAGCTCATTGTAGTCGTACAGTACAAGTAGAATCAGTAGAAGCTGTATTTAGAGATATTCTTTACATGCAAATCGACTTTAAACTTGCAAATGATTCTTATTTGCAGTCAGTATCCTGTTCTTGTAGGACGTGGCTGATATTCAACAATGTGAGGGAGTTTTTTAATATTCAGCCACAACATTGGGCTGTGGTGAGGAAACTGTCAGCAACTCTACCAACAACAATATATGATGGGGTTTTTAGTTTCCTCTTTTCTGGTCTGATCTGAGCAGAAGGTCTGAGAGGAGAAGTAGGCACATGGAAGTATATAAATAAATAAATAAATAAATAAATAAATAAAATGAATTAAGTCGTGCACAACATGCAGACTTTGGATTTATTCTGTCACATCATGCCTCCACATAATAATCTGTTAACATAGATTACATAAACAAAAATCAGTCTATCCATCCAATAATAAAGTGAAAACAAACGATGTTTTGGTGGTTTTGGTCTCGTTCTTCCAGTCTTTTAAAACAATAGAGGATTAAATTAGGCGTTAAAAACACAGGAGAACAAACACTGCATCATTTACTCTAACAGTCTCTGTTTACAGTGGGCGGCGCAAACAGGCCTCAGGCCAAACATAATGTATTTTTATGCAAATTTAAAAATCCAACGCAAAGCTCTCAGCTGATTTAATGACAAATGCGTCACATTTACGACACATTTCTGTTTGTTTTATTGTGAAAAACGTCTCCGGCTGCAGCACAACACACGACTTGTCCCTGTGATTGGTGTTTATTCCTCTACAACACGATGTAAACACGGAGCCCTTCATTTCAGAGCCACATAAAAGTTATTTATAGCCTACCTGCTAAATCCAGGCTCCGGCGGCGTGGGTTCGTGTTTTCTGTCCACTCTGAGTTGATGTTGTTGTTTTTATTTGTGAAACTGGAAGCGCTCACAAACAGCGGAACATGTCCGCTCACGGTATCCGTCGGTTTATTTAATGTTGGGACAGGTGGGACGGTGGTAAACTGGAGGCTGCAAATGATTCACCTGCTGCCTTTTCTCGGCTCTCAGCTCCTCCTGTCATCACAGATTCATCAGCTGTCAAACCAGCGTCACTCACACGCTCCTCTTCCGGTTCTCACCTTCAAAGTAAAAGCTGGATTAACGCAACATTGGTGCATTTTACTACTAAAAAGTAAACAGTGTTGTATTTTTGTAACACAACTTATGTTATTTATAGTATTTAAGTTCCTGGAGGGGTTTACGTGCATATTATGTACACTGTAGTATTTTTATTGTACTGTATTCTCCAATGCTGCTGTTTGTAATTTTAATTTCTCCTACAGGGGATTAATAAAAGGTATATCTTATCTTATTTTATCTCTTATGCCACCTAAAATCTGGTTATTCATATTATTTCATGCACGTTTTCCATGCTTCTTATGATCACTGAGTCTGCACTGGATAAACTTTGACACCACATTACACTTTTCATGTTTCTGTTTCAAATTGGGTTCGGATGAGAATTTAAATTTGTGGTTGCATTTAAAAGATTAGGACTGTCTAATGGGTTTGACTGGAAAGTGATACTTCTCCTCACTGTTAGAGGAGTCTATACGTTGTTTATCATTTTAGTTCTGTTGTTTTCACCAACTACTTCTTGAAATAACTTAAAAACACAGTTAGCATATATTGGTTACATTGAACTAAGGATATTTTGTACTCAATTTAGTCACATATTTGCATAATCCAAAATTTATCTTTGTGCAAACATAAGTGGGATACTCCAGAAACCTGAACCAAGATGCATCACTCACCACAAAAGCAACAGTGTTTAACCTGATTCTGATATGGTAATCTGTTTAGTGACCTTATTTCAGCTAAAGGTTGACTTGTTTCCTTAATAAATCAGATATTCTTTAAATAAATAGGCAGTTTATCCTACGGTGTACAATACAACAATATCAGACTCTATTTTATTGGTATAATTGTATAATGTATTGTATTAATTATACAAGGAACACAAATAGTGCGAATCAATAAATACTGGAACTATACGGGACAATAGCACGGCGACTAAATAAGCTGTGAAATACTAAAATAACGTGTTGTTCAATAACCTGATAGATGTCAAACTTAAGCAGAACTCAACAATTTAACTTTAGAATACAATATAAAAAAAAAAAAAAAAAAAACAGCGCTTTTATTCTGAAGGGAAAGTCCTCTGACTTCCTGTGTTTGTCCGGTTACGTCTGCGTGGTTTGACGTAGTTGAGGAGCTTACCTGATCCCATATTTCCCACCATACACTGCGGCACCGGGGCTGGCCGTGATGTCCTGCCCGGGATAAGGCCACCTATCGGTCGGAGAGATGAACTGCCTGCAGGGAGAGAGACAGAGTACAGGCTTGTTTTACTTCAATGTAAACAAACCTTAAACATCAGAATCATAGATTGGGTAGTGTGTGTGTGTGTGTGTGTGTGTGTGTGTGTGTGTGTGTGTGTGTGTGTGTGTGTGTGTGTGGTCACAGTATTAGTCTTATTAATGTCACTTTAGTTAAGCCTGGTGGAGGAACCAGGTTTTAGGAAACAATCAACTTGAGTTATATGAAGACTTCATTACGGTGGCATTTAGTGGGAGTCAGCAGCTGAACATAAAATGTGACTGTAAACAAAAAGGATCAAAGTGTGTGTGAGGCGACAATAACAACATTTTTAGTGTTGAATTTTAACTGAGAGATAAAAGTGATAATAATAAATAAATTTCTTGCTCTAATAATGAGACAGTTGGCTTTTACTGGGGAGTAAGACACCCGCTGTTTATTACAGGAAACCATCAAATAAAGCTTTAAATGCAGGTTAATATTCTATTAAAGCAAAGCTACTCTGCTGTCAAACAGATTTAGATTGCTTTATTCATTTCACTGTACTTTAATTAAATGTTATTGTTGCCTCAATATGATGTGAAGTAATATGAATGAACAACAAACAAATATTGGATTTGGTCAGCGGGTTTTGAACTCAAATATTTAAGTAGTATTTTCACTATTCTCAGAGGTAAATATACACTTTCATTAGCTGGAGTTACTTTATAAATAATGAATATAAACTAGCTCCTCCACAAACTGCTATAAAGTGCTGTTTACATGTTAATGTATCAATAATAGTAATAAATAAAACAATATAACAGTAACAGGAGCTATTCTGCTCCTGAACCAGCACATTTACATCTCATACTTTGAGTATATTAAGCTTACTGTGTAGTGCACTTGTGAGGTTTTACTTAAGTAAATTATCTGAATGCTTCTTCACTGCTGGGTTTTAGTTGGATGATACTCAATATTAAAAGACCAGGGCATCCCCACAAATAGAGACCCTAAACTAAAGGGCCCCTGTCCCCTCGGGCCCCTTCGTCTGTGCCCAGCAGGCCTGTTCAGTAGCTGTGACTTCTTGTTCTTTGGAGTTTGTTTGAGTTTCTATAGATGGCGCTCTTTCCTTTTTACCCTTCAGTCATAGCATGTAATAGTAGAGGGAGCTGCTGTTACCTCATCCACAAAAACTCTCATTATTAAATCATTAAATTAAAATTCAGAGAGAGGGAGACAGTGAGCAGCCTAACAAACAGGAACTATCAGTGTGTGTGTGTGTGTGTGTGTGTGTGTGTGTGTGTGTGTGTGTGTGTGTGAGACAGTTATATGAGCGGGGTTGATGGACGGCTCAGCTGTCAGGTAGGCAGAGAAGCACCAGCAACTGACTGTGGTGGGCGTGCAGGCAGGGCCCCGGCCATATAAGGTCACCGGTCCCCGGGGGAAACTCCTCCAGGCTTCTGGTGCTCCTTCCTGTTAACAACCCTCCAATACCTGCTGCTCACCACACATTCAGCTTTAGGTGTCAGAGGGCCTGGGATCAGGGTCAGATGATTGGGTTCTTGTTAAGTTTGAAAAAAAAAAAAGACAACTGGAAATTAGAGCAGCTCGAACATGACACCAGCTCTGTAGTGAAAGGCCAGATGACGTAAGTGCAGGATATGAGAAATGAACCTCTGTCATCTCACTCTTTTCACCTTTAGACGAGGACCACAGTAGAAACAGACTTTAGTTTTTATTGTGTTTTATCCTCTACAATTTATTGTACGTCAGAATTTGGTGACTGCAGTCTTTTCTTACCTTTTGACAGACGCCCAAGTCTAAAATGGTTCCAGCAATAAAACCAAAATGAAACCAAAACCTGAAACCTCGTAAACACACCTTCTACAAAACAAGTAATAAAATAAACCTAGGCTCTATTTAGAGTTCAATGTTGCAACAAAAGTATGATTTAAATCAGAAATATTCTGAAAAAGTACAAAACACAACAAAGAATTTGATAAATAAAAACAATTTGTTGTTACTTTTTGATAATTGAGTAACAATAACCATAAATAAGGGTTTGTTACACAGATAATCAATACTGAATGCTCTGTCCTATCCATACCCACTGGAGACAAGTGTCTTGCCACAGAAATGTAAACACAAATATGCCGGCGACCAGCTGCTGACAGCAATAAGACTCAGACATTAAGATACTTATCACCATTAATGATGGACGTAACTCGAACTGGAAACAGTCACTTACATTCATCACAACCCACTGTAGGACTGCTGGTAGGCTGCTCTTTAGACAGCAGGACAAACTGAGTCAATTAGTCATAAACATATGCAGCTGATGCAGTGGAGTGTGGAGTGAAACGGAGAAGAGGATTATGGGAAAGTGAGTTCTTTATTTTTGTTTTACATTGCAGAAAGAAAACAAAACCAGTCCTCAGCTGCCTCCGCTCCTCCAGAAGTATGAGACAGATGTCAGGTACCTGGTTGAGGTCTTAGCCTCAAATAAATCCAATTTATACACAAATATATTGATATTGATATTGATTGGAAACTTGATGGCTGGTAAGAAGAGGTTTGTAAAGATGTCTGCTGTGTTTCGTATCTGTTTATCTTGGCAAAAGAGGTTGGTTGATACAGGCCAGCAGAGATGATAGTAAGAAGAAAAAGGTGCTTACAGCGATGTTAACCAACAACAATAAGACAGGCTGACATTAGTGCATCAGTACTATTGTTTGAGAAGATAATGCAGAGTAATTCAAAACTGATAAGTAGTCAGTTGTGATGTTGTTAGTTGAAAAGCGTGGAATTAAACAACTACTGTATACGAATGTGTGTATTTATGCAAATATACATTGAGTTAGAGCGATATATCATCAGAAATTGCTCAATACTACGGCCACAGTACTGGTTTTGGTACGTTAAAACACTGCTTTAAAGAATATAAACATGTTCTTCTTACCCAAAATTCTTGCAGCAGCAACTTAAAAAATCTAAAAAATACAATAAAGCCGATAAAAAGATGATATATTTGACAGTTTTCAGGTTTCAGTACTTTGGTTAATATGAAAAAAACTCTGGTTCAGTAATGTGTCTGGATTCATTTTATCAATTTCAAGCTGTAGTATGAGATCATTGTGCAGCTTCATTTTATTTACTGAAGGTGTATCAATACAGTTTATCCAGTTCTAATACAACTCCTGGCTGTTTTAGTGTAAACTCTGTTCTCTGGATTTGGGCTTCTCACTATGTGTCGTTGAAATATGCAGGGTCGCCACATTTTTCCATTTGTGGCTCAGAGTTCGTTCTTTGACCTCACTGCAGAAAATAGAAACCACTTTATTTGTTCATCTGTTGCAGTGACTCTTACATACGTATAGTATCGGGGTCCATAGCACACAACTGCTGCATTTATGTGGAATCAAGCACTAAACTGAACCACTTATCTCAATGATTTAGCTTCTCGATTATATATTTTATCAACCTTGTTTTATTGATCTTGATGTGCATTTTCTTACATATATACAATAATTAGTGTTTTTTTTATTTTGTCTAGACTGAAGACCAGAAGGGACAAACACTGATGTAAAGACCGAGTGAAAAGCTAAGCCTAAAAGCTAAATCAGTTCAGCCTTCATAATCTCTCCATAAACCCCACTGACCTTCATAATAACTGTTAAGTCTTTGTACTTAAGTACAGTATTATTGCCTCGTTAACTATCGACTCAGTTTAATGTAAACTTTGATTCTTTTCCTGCCTCTTATGTTCTGCAAAAATATTTATTATTAATTATAAATAACAATAATAAAACATTAAAACACGTTCTGTGTCAGCTAAAGGTCATTTTCTTTCTGGAGATTGTCTTCCACACACACACACACACACACACACACACACACACACACACACACACACACACACACCAGAATAATTGAACAGCTGAATATATCACACTGTTTCGTTGTGCTCTCACCTCATAGTTGCAGACCTGCGGCGTCCCACACTGAGGACACAGTAGCAGCACTACCTCTCATTACAATGTCAACACTAAAAATAACACCATCATGACTGTACGTCCTTAATTATTTATCACAGCTCCCTCCTACCTTCAACACACTAAAGACCAGATTCATAACAGAAGGGGTTTCTGCATGCAGCAAGCAAGAAAAAAATGACAGAAACTTTATAATTTCAGTAAATGTATGATGTTTTATCTGTGTGTGTGTGTGTGTGAGAGTGAGAGAGTGAGAGTTGCTATGAAGCTGCTAAGCACACAAAATTAGATCAATGCTGAGATGAGACAGTCTGTGGGATTCCACACTGGCAACACAACACTGCAGCTGACGCCCAACAGACCGCCGACAGCAGGAAGGAATGGTGGTACACGCTGCAGTTGGATGTGTGTGTGTGTGTGTGTGTGTGTGTGTGTGTGTGTGTGTGTGTGTGTGTGTGTGTGTGTGTATGTGAATGTATAAAAACATATATATCAGCATCAGAAAAAAGAACACTGAATGTGCATTGTAGAGATAATTGCATATACATATGCATGTAGGCACACGTGATCAAAACATTATGCAACACACACACACACACACACACACACACACACACACACACACACACACACACACACACACACACACACACACACACCAGAGGAGAACTGTAGCGTTAAAAACTTACAGCTGTCTTGGCCCACATCCCATTGATTTAAAATTAGAAATGAATGACTTATAGAATGAATGGGAACAATGGCACACACACACACACACACACACACACACACACACACACACACACAGCACAACCATATGTCTGATATCACGTGGAAAAGAAATGAAGCAAAAGCTGAACCGACCTAACTTTAGTGACTTACATGATTTAAGTAAACTGAGCAACGATTCTGAAGAGTTAAAATATGAAGATGATGATGATTTTATTTCTTTTTACTCCTGCTGGAATCCTTGTAGGCCCTTTAACTTGTTCACATCCGTCCTGCAGCTTCGGTGGAGAAATTTTATCAATCTGCTCAAGTGAATGTGGATGAACAGATGAATGGACGGCGGGATGAACGAAGGGACAGACGGACTGACAGCTGAGTCGATGCAATTCAATCGGGTGAACTGGTATTGGAGATCGGGGGACCTGGTGAGGAGCACTAAAGATAGAAATCCACAGTTCACCCCACCCACATTGCATGTCCGCCTTCCCCCCCTCATGAGTTACTCAGGTAGCTCATGTTTCAATGTAAGCTCACCACCATCACCTTCATAAAATACACACAAAACGTGCAGGAATTCAACGCGGTTGTAGAAAAAATGAGATATATTAGTTACATTTGAAACACAGTGGGATGTTGCTCAGCGCAGATGGGTGAATAATCAGTAGTGTGATTCCCTCAAGCATTTCAGCACCCAAACACACAACACATCCAATTTGTTTCACCACTATGAGAACACAACACTTAAAGCTGTGAACTTTCTATTATTACCGGTTCTATTTTAAATAAATCCCTCTGGTTTGTGTTTGTTGCTTATGATATCCTCTTACTGATCACTATGAATGTGAAAAGTTACAGTGATAAATGTGCTGTCAACTACACCAATGAGCATCCTCACACACACTCTGCTGGTAGGGACGGTTTTTCGTCATGTTTTGTGCAAAATGTGGATCAGTTCAAGAATGAACTCTGTCACTATCACTGAGTTCTATTGTTAAACAGTGTCAAGTTCAATAAAACACAATCACAGAAACCTTTATCTGACAATATTGAATTCTCACAATAGAGCACATTTGTTTTCTTCCTATTTTTGAGAGTTGAAATGTTTGTAAAATGTTTTATAATCCTAGTATTTATGTTATCCACAGAGCCGTTTTGTGCAATGCATAAAAGCTAATTTCTGTTAACCTTTAGCAAATCCATAGAAAACAATTACACAATGCAGATTATAGATTGAGAACATAATGAGTAAAAGTTTATAATAAACACAACTGACAGTATCTGCTCCTGGCAACTATTTTATTGTGTTGTTCAACAACTTAAAGCTCTTGTTTAATTTAGTGCCTCAAAGACTACTCCAGTGATTTAGCATCGCACTCCTTTAAAATTGTTGGACTGGTTTTAAAAAGATAGATTAATTGATGCAGCAGAACCAAAAATATCATTGATAACCTGGTGCCTACATTACCCACAATGCAACTCAGAGATGAGGAGCGGGCTACAGAAGTCTTGGGAGCTCTCTTCTTTCTAACTCCACACCCCTTCATTTTTTTTATTTTTCCTTTCTTACTTGTAGCCCCAACCTACGATGACTCAAATTACATCACGTGAGGCAATGTATCAGATTTCACACTGCTCACAAAAAGGCTTCATACTACTTTTTCACACACACCGTAGTACTCGCCGATCATCTATAAGAGAGAGTCGCCCCCTCTCATGTCACTACAGGTAAGTGATGTCCGACTATCCGCCCCAATAACAGCTATTATGTTTCCTCTACAACATATTAGATAGAGCTAATAAGTATCCGACAGAATAAAGTTGCAATCAGACGAAAACTGAAATATTTTCATCACA